AGTATTCTAAACTGTATAAAAAAAATTGAAATCAATTGTGAACATCCTTTCCTTATATAGGACGGTCTCTCCTGTTGATTTTATATCGTGGAAAGCAAGATTTTCCAGTGTTATTGGTATGTTAGTAAAAATTAAATTATTAATTTTCTAATTATTAATATTATTAATAAAAATTATGATTATTTAGGGATTAAAACATCCTTGGGAAGCCCATGGTCATCATCATGGTCATCATTTACCAATAAAAGACTCAATTTTATTGAATGAAGAAAAGAGTTAAAAGATTATCAAATTTAATTATTTAACATCATCTTTATTATTGTTTTCAGTGTCATCGTTCTTGTTTCGTCAACAAGTAAATGGGCTAGTTATACAAATAAAATAGATTATTTCATAATTAAGGTGGTTTTCTTTCCATTATGCATTCTTTCCATTTTTTAATTAATATATTATATTAATAATAAAAAACACAACAAGGGATTCGTTATTGTTGCTGTTTTACTCAGGCCTTTAAAATGACTTGTTACTATCTGATTTACTACATTGAAATCATTGAAATGCATTTTTTGAAAAATTATCATATGTAGTTTGAAAATGAATTTATGCCAGAATTTTTAATGTAGGAAGTAACTTATTACAAAAATTCCAATTTAAATAAAATAAATAATGAATTGATTAAATACAATATCTCACTGTGGAATGAGATAGAGAAAAATCTAAGGTGCTATTACAATTCAAATAGTATTGATATTTCCAAGTCCTGAAAAAAGATAAATTAAAATGAATTTAGTGGATGTTTAGAAGCATAAAATATTGGGGTTGGTCACAATGGTTGATCATCAAACATAGAAAATTACTATGTGCGGATTTTTTAATGTTACTCACATATATATCATCAAAACATAGTAAATAATCGAAGATTTATTTAAACTTTAAAACGTAAAGGCTCGATAACCAAGCAGGCTGTTGGAATAATCCTTCCGCGATTGTATTCGCATATGCTCAATTAAGGGCCTGTCAGAGAGTTTTTTTCAATTATATTAGTAAAAAATTTTTTTGTAAAGGTTCAAAGTTATCAATTTTATTGATTTTACTATAAACAATGGAAATTTATTTAAACTTTAAAACGTAAAGGCTCGATAACCAAGCAAGCTGTTGGAATAATCTTTCCGTGATTGTCTTTACAGATGCCCAATTAAGGGCCTGTCAGAGAGTTTTTTTTAATTATACTAGTAAAAAAAATTTTTGTAAAGGTTCAAAGTTACCAACTTTATTGATTTTACTATAAACAATGGAAATTTATTTAAACTTTAAAACGTAAAGGCTCAATAACCAAGCAAGCTATTGGAATAATCCTTCCGCGATTGTATTTGCATATGCTCAATTAAGGGCCTGTCAGAGAGTTTTTTTCATTTATATTAGTAAAAAAATTTTTTGTAAAGGTTCAAAGTTACCAATTTTCTATTAACATTTGCTTTGACAATCCTTCCCTTTTAAGGAAATGGAAAAATGTTATTAAATAAAAATTGTTATAAAAGATTGTTAGTCTAATAAAATTTTGATCAAATAAAATGCCAAAACTTCATCAAAAATTAAGGCTAATTCAACAGGCCCGTCTAATCAAAAAAGAGAAAAATTATGATCCAATTGAAAAAGAAAATAGTTCACCTATGGATCTTGACAAGTCATTTCTAGTAACCAATGATTCCTTATCCAGAGATGATTATGTTTCTCTATCCCAAGATGTCTTTGATTCAACTTTCCAAAATGCATCAAATGTTTACCCCCAAGATATTTTAGATCACTCATCTGTTAATACTATAGATCAAACTAATATGGCAGAACTTAGTACTAAGGCAAAGCAAATTAGAATTGAATTAATTAATAAAATAAATGATTTAGATGAAAAAGAATTAATTGCTTGCTCCCAATTGTTTGAAAACATGCAATATCCAAATGGTACACATCAAGGTAAGATTTTGTCTCCTTATTTGCAAAAAAAAGCCATGGAATGGGTCCTAATGACTAAAGGCAAACCTCAGAATAATGAATCTGAGATAAATCAGAAAATGAAAGAATTAGAAAAGGAAATTAAAAAATTAAAAAAAAAAAATTGAAAATCTTAATGCATATAAAAAATCACTTGCAATTAAGGTTACTAGGCAAGAACAAAGAAGAAAAACTTATGTTTCCCAGACCCGTTCTCTTGTTAGTAAAAGGAAATCAATATCAGATAAAGTCTTTCAAAATGCTGTTGTGAGATTGTAAATAAGGACTGGGGAAGTCCCGAGCATGTCGATCAATCGGAACCAACTTACTGCGGCAGCCACGTGACAATGACATCATTTTCTTATTTTTTTGTGTAACGACTACGCCACATACTGCGTCATGTTACACATTACATCATTTCTATTTTTAACTTATTTTATGACATAATTATTTACTTTTAATTATTAATTCAATTATTTGTAATAGTGACTCATAGGATTAGTCATTATGAGTCATAGCATTAGTAATTAATGATTAGTAAGCTAGTATTACAGAAAATAGGATTAATAAGCATATATTATTGGACAAAATATTGTAAAGGTCATGTTATTTGTAATACCTCAAGAGGTATAAATAGGCTTGGTTTTAGACCAAGTGAGAATCATCATGTTCATGATACCAGAATAATAATATAATATTAACTTTGTAACAAAAATAATATCACTAATAAAGACACAACACTTTTACAATAAATAATTGAACTTCTAATAAAACCCTTAATAAAACCTTTGCTGAAAAGCATACCTCACCTCAAATTAAGACCATACTAACTAAGGGACGCCTTAGTCAGACAGTGGAATATTTATTGATTATTTTTAGGCTTTGCCAGCAGTACTTCCATTAGTACTGTGGAGAGAGAGATTGCGCAAGACAGAAAGAGAGATTTGAGTAGGCTCTTAGCTGTGTGCGAAGATAGAGGCCTGGAAATTTGAGAACCCTTAGCTGTGTGCGAAGATAGGGAGATTCATCTATTAGAACTTTTATTTTATCTTATACATATATATTTATTGGACACCTCACGAGCTGTATTAGAATTTACACGCTCGCACTGTAACAAAAAAATTCAAAGCAAATAAAAATGCCTACACACCTGAATTTGTTTCCCTAGCTACTCAAATGAGTAATATTGGTCAGATGTCTTTATCCTCAACTGTTCAATGT